CGTTGCGCATGCGCCGTTGAGTCTCCTGAAAACAAACGTTTGTTTACAGGAGCAAAGGAAGTTTCCTTACTTTAGCAAAGCTGAGACAATTTTTTATATAACTCCGACTGGATTCGTCTGGAAGAAGAAAGTCATATACACCTAGGATGCCTTGGGGGTGAGTAAAACGCAGCCTAATTTTCATTTTTGGGTGAACTAACCCTTTAAGTAGATACTTATTTTAAGCAAAATATAAAAAAGGTCCAGACTTCAAGAGGAAAAAACCCTGAACCTCCATACAGTATCTTTTCTGTCACGTGGTTTTCTGCCTTATGTAACTAAATGTAAAAATAAAAATAGCATGATAGCATTTTTCTATTACAAAGCACTATTGGTGCCCAGATGGAAATGTATAACTATTCACAAAAACAGCAGGGTGGTGCAGCAGTTGCACGGAAGAGAACACATGCCTAAACCTGCTCTTCAGCTTTACGAATGACTGCTATTCAAAACAGGCAGCGATGACTTAAAGGAACAGAAAAGGCAGCTGTGTGCTTAAAAGCGAGATGATAATGAATTAGTGAAAGTTCTGGCAATATTTCAAAACACTTCTACCTATGTCCTAAAGTCAGATGAAAAGTGAGCAATTATGAATTGACAGTTAACAGTTATGTTAAACAACTCAAAGTTTAACATGCCTAGAATGAACTTCTGTTCAGAGAGGCCACACACTAGTGACCAGTCGACCAGACTTTAATCTGGTTATAAAGAGACACTGTTAATCATTACTATAACTATATGTGATTCCTCTGAGAACTGTATAACCTGACACCAGAAGCATTTGCACATTCAAATAAAAAATGGCTGCACCTGCTCTATCTAAAAAAATTTGATTAATAGCACAATTAAATATTTACTCACAACAACAACGTTTTAATAAAACTGTTATAAAATCTGATTGGATCAGTCTTGTTTGAAACATTGTAATAAAATCCACACTGCTGCACATCACAGGAGTTATACCAAGGTTACTTAGCAACCATAAATAATTGCATGATAAAGTACAGGATGAGTCTTCTTGTCAGACTCTGTTCCTTGTTTTTTGTGTGTTTTGCTCCCCATGTGCCTTCCTTGCCCTTATTTGGACTTCCTGTTCCTGCCCTGATTGTGTTTATTTGATCCCAGCTGTGTCCCATTTATTTCCTTGATTAGTCCCATAATATAAACCCTGTGTTTCTGAGTTTCTCTTGTCTGGAATTGTACGTCGATCCCTGTGTACTATGTGTGATTTCCCTGTTGAAGAAAATAAAGTCTATGTTTATTCTGGATTCTCCTTCGTCTCCTCACTCCTTCACAGTAGGCACACTGTGACACTTCTATTTTATTCATTTATGTTTTACTTAATTGTTTGATTCATTTACCATACAAAAAGATGTTAAAATGGAATTCTTGCTCATGTTTTGGTTCATAATGTTGAAATGTATGTATACATACATGCATACACACAGTATATGTGTATATATACACGCATCTTATATTACTGAATTAACATTACAGTTCAATCTTGATTCTAAATCACTTTTGTTAAACAATGTTGACAACACAAATGAAATGTCAACATTTAAATCAAATTTGCAATCAGATGTAGCAATATTAACAATTCAAATACTAAAATGCTACATCAACAAATTCCTGACTATTACGAAAAAACAACAAAAAAAACTTGAAATAAAAAAAAGACACCAGTTGAGTATTTATTTAGTGATTAAAAGATATATTTCTTAAAGGAAAAGTGGGACAAAAAAAAACAAAAAGGTCATTTGTTTCAGGAGTCTGATGATACTTCCTTTGGATTCTCTGAAATGTGAAAAAGAAAGCACAATGTCATCTAAAAGAAAGTCAATTCAGCTGTCATACGACCACATACAGGAATGTTAAAACATGATAAATTTTTTCAAACTGCACAACACAGCATTATAATTATAATTTTAGTATAATTTAATTGATTTTTCTAAAATTATTAATTTTATTATTACCATTTCTGGTATTCTGTTTAGTGGGAACAGGCTAAACTGAATCGAGATCAGTTACTCGCATCACATTTAATACTGATTTAGGAAAATTAATGATTACCAGATTTTACGATACTCGGGGTGCTTCTCAATTCTTGTTTGTGCATCCTCGCTTCCTTTCCTCGCGTCTTAGCTTCACCCCTTCAGGATGCGAGGGACGGGCGCAAGGAAAAGATACGAGGACGGAGGAATTGAATCAAGTGAAATGATATCCTCGCTCCCTTCACTTCAAAGCGTCTTCAATTAGTGATGACTCTACACCACTGGATTTAGCTTGCACGTCAGGATTCTTTAACATTAGAGACAATTATTTATATTGTAATAGTTTCAACCTCCACAAAATACCACATTAAACCCTACATTACCACATTAAATTACTACAAAAAACCCTACATTAAAGTCATTCTCTATTCTCTATTAACCAATATAAGAGGCATTCATTTAACAATTAAAAGCAATCAGCCATTAAAATCAAGAGACGTAAATAAACAATTAAAACTGTGCTGAAAAGAACACGTTATACATCGAAATTAAAGGCACTGTCAAAACATGACTCACATTTACAATAACTTCATGCTTAATACTCACATTTATGTGTGTTTGTATTTTCTGCCATGGTTAGCACTTGGTGCAGATGTGAAGGGGGAGGAGAATTTATACATGCGTCATGTTTAATCGATAAAACACTTCCGCAAAGGATACACCTGCGTATCCTCGCTCATGACTCCTCAGGAAGCCTCCTCGATCCTCACTTCCTCGCTTTGCAATTAGAGAATTGAGATGTCGTACAAGATGACTGAGCTCGATCAGTTTCCGGATCATAGGATGGAGGACGGAGGAGCGAGGAAACATGGATGTCAGTCATGGACTCTTATTTTGTAGTTTTTCTGGTCCCCTTTGTTTCTGTATTGACTCCCCTGTTTAGTTGCTGTTGCCTTGTCCCTCTTGTTTGTTCCCTTGGCTACCCTCGTGTGCTGCTATGGTGATTCATTGGCTCCTCCCACTTGTTATCTCATTATCCTTGTTATCCTGTGTATTTATTAGGGCTGGGTAAAAAATATCAATATCTCGATATTAATCGATTCTCATTTTTACGGAACGATATCGATTATTAAATCCCAAGAATCGATTAGTCGAGCTTTCAGTTAATGGACGGAACGTTGAAGGGGACAGAACGTCCCATCCAATATATCGCAATAAGCACTTTGGTACTTTTATATGAAACCATAATATGAAACAAAGTCTCAGATTTTCTGTCCATTGTATTGCAGTATTCAAACAATAAATGCCGTTTTGGCACTGTTTAATGTGAAGTGACAGATCGCTGTAGCGCGTCAGTTCAACAGACGCGGCAGCGCAAGGTGCACGTGAACTGATCATCTCCTCCGCATTAATACCAGTTTCAGCACAAAATAAACATGACTAAACATCCCAAGGTAAGTTTTAATTTATGTTTGAATAAATCCATCAAGATTTTATGACAGCCATCATTGTTTATATTTAAAAAACAAAAACAAATTGAAGTAGAAATATTATGTAATTGTAACTATATTATTTTAAAAACTTCATTAAGTTAAAATTTTAACAAATCAGTTAATTTTAACCTTCAATATTATAGTAAAGTAGTACCAACTGACTCTCATGTATATTTTACAGCATTAGTTGAGAGATTTTTTTTCTTGAGAAAATTTGGCATGTACTGTACCTGATATATATCCAAAATAATCGACATTGAATCGAATCGGTAATCGAATCGCAAGCTTGTGAATGAGAATCGAATCATGAAATTTGTGTCAAAACCCAGCCCTAGTGTTTATACCCCTGTGTTTGCCTGGTTCTGTGTCAATCTTTGTTCCTAGATTATGTTTCCTGTGTATGTTCCTGGTTCCTGTGTTGGATCTTTGTTTGTTTTCTTAAATCTTACTGCAATTTGATCCTCCGGCTTGTGTTCCCATGCTCCAACTTTACAATAGAGCCATACTATTTATAGGAAATACTAACCAGGTGCTCCATCAAAATATTATTAAACATGGCCTAATAGAGGCATTCCAGCTCAGTAAATGCAATTCAGATTGTTCTATCCCTTGGTTTTTGGTTTGATCTTTCAGATGTTTGCCTTGCAAGGTACTGGCTTTATCTTCTGGAACATATCTTTTTATGTTTTTATATTCTCTACATTCCCTGGGATATTGCAAAGAAATTTCGCACCAAACCAAACATTACTTTCATTATGGTATTAAGGTTAATTCATGTCACTTATCCCTGTCCAAATAGAATGTGTCATAGGACATGAACAACTTAAAGTCCTAGTCATGTCAGTATATTGAGGTTATCCCAGTTTTTAACTGATGTATTAGCTTGGTAAATTTAACACAATATCAGCAGTAATGAAAACTACAGTCTACTTCATACAAATGATCACATTTGTCCTGCAATACAAACTGTATTACCACCCAAACTGTTTGTGGTATACTGAAAACAATATATAATATTATAATTTTAGTAAGTTTCAATTGTATTTACTGTAAAATTCCACAAATGAATGGAGACAGACAAAACAGTTATAACCACTTTATTTACATCACTTTATTAGTTTGTTCAAATAATTTAGGTTTATGCTTTTCTAATGCAATTTATTTTAAAAAGTTCTATGTGTTACATTATCCATTATTCATAAGGGTATTTGTTAGTCCTGCAATACAAACTGTATTACCACCCAAACTGTTTGTGGTATACTGAAAACAATATATAATATTATAATTTTAGTAAGTTTCAATTGTATTTACTGTAAAATTCCACAAATGAATGGAGACAGACAAAACAGTTATAACATCACTTTATTTACATCACTTTATTAGTTTGTTCAAATAATTTAGGTTTATGCTTTTCTAATGCAATTTATTTTGAAAAGTTCTCTGTGTTACATTATCCATTATTCATAAGGGTATTTGTTAGCAGTTCATTCAAGTCTGTTTCTATGTACATTGTCTCATTGTATGAACATTGCTATTGATGACAAAGCAAGATAAATATTGTTCCTTGGGGCTGTGTGTTTGTAAATGTTTAGATAATCAGATAGGACAGACATATGACAGAAACATTTTGACCTCATTAGCAATGATAACAGGTCCTGGGTGAATATTTTCACGTAGATAGTGACAGGAAGTCATCTGCCATACATCTAAGTAGATTACTCCAATATCTCTGAACATCTCTTGCATCACTGTGTTCAGCTGCATCACATACCAATCACTTTGAAAAATATTCTGTAAAAACACAAATCAGAATCATAATTACTGCAACACACAAGGACGTTTAGTAAATGAAGCTTCTAGTGCTTCCATACAATAAAATATAAAAATGTATAAAGACACAACCTAATAAACATATTTACAGATGTAAAGATAAGTAACAAATGATACTGTCAGACCTGGAATAAGCAATGCTGGTTTGGACAAACTACATAAAATTTGTTGTTTATATGTATTGCTACTGTAGCTACTAGACATCCCACTGATCAACCACAACATTAAAACCACTGACAGGTGAAGTGAATAACATTGACTATTAGTACAATGGTACCTGCCACTGGGTGGGATATATTAGGCAGCAAGTGAACAGTCAATTCTTGAATTTTTATGTGTTGGAAATATGAAAAATGGGCAAGCGAAAAGGTCTGAGTGACTATGACAAGTGTCAAATACTGACCGCTAGACAACCGAGTCAGAGTATCTCCAAAACGTCTTGTGGGGAGTTTGTGGTATGCAGTGGTCAGTACCTAACAAAAGTGGTTCAAGGAAGGACAACCATTGAACTGAGATCAGGGTCATGGGCACCCAAGGCTCATTGATGCACGTGGGCGGTGAAGGCTAGCCTGTCTGGTCAGATCACACACGAGAGCTACTGTAGCTCAAATTGCTCAAAGACTTAATGCTGGTCATTATCGAAAGGTGTCAGAACACACAGTACATCAGAGTTAGTTGTATGGGGCTACGTAGCCTCAGACCAGGCAGAGTGACCATGAAGCATGTGTCCTAAACGCGACAATCTTATTGGCTGATGACAGTCTGTGACATCACTGCTGGTGTGCCTGTGAATAGTTCACGTCATCAGCCTTTTTGTCTTAAGGAGCCATTTGTTTGTGTATGTGCAAGAAAAGGCGACCACTATTCTTCATTCACTAACTCAAGATCTGCTGGATCAGGATGTTCTTTCCCTCGAATCATCTGATCCAGCAGATAGCGCTTTATTGGCATCTAGCTCATTCAATAAATACACAGCTAAACAGATGAGTTTTGAGTCTGGATTTAAATGTGGCTAATGTTTTAGCACATCTGATCTCTTCTGGAAGCTGGTTCCAGCTGTGGGCGGCATAATAGCTAAAAGCGGACTCCCCTTGTTTTGTGTGAACCCTTGGTTTTTCTAACTGACATGATCCTAATAATCTGAGTGGTCTGTTAGGTTTATATTCAGTGAGCATCTCTGCAATTTATTTAGGTCCTAGACCATTAAGTGATTAATAAACGAGTAAATGTACTTTAAAATCAATCCTAAATATAACTGGAAGCCAATGTAAGGACCTGAGGACTGGTGTCATATGCTAAGATTTTCTGGTTCTAGTCAGAATCCTGGCAGCAGCGTTCTGGATAAGCTGCAGCTGTCCAATAGTCTTCTTGGGAAGGCCGGTGAGGAGACCATTACAATAGTCCACCCTGCTAGTGATAAAGGCATGAACAAGTTTCTCCAAGGCTTGACTGGAGAACAAAACATCTAATTATTGCAATGTTTTTGAGATGATAGTATGCTGATTTAGTTACTGCTTTGACATGACTACTGAAACTAAGGTCTGTGCCCACTGCTCCGGGTGTGTGTTCACTGCTGTGTGTGTGCACTTTGGATGGGATAAATGCAGAGCACTAATTCCGAGTATGGGTCACCATACTTGGCCACATGTCACGTCACTTTATTTGGGGAAGTCGTGGCCTAATGGTTAGAGAGTCGGACTCGTAACCCAAGCCAGTGCAAATTGATGAACAGAGGTGTGACATGCGTTCTTTTCGGCTCATTAAAGATTAATCTAAATGCTGGAGAGTATTTTGGAGGCCTGTAAATAATGATAAAGAAAATGCGTGGATCACATTTCAGCACAATACCTAGACATTCAAAAGGCAAGTACTGACCAAATAACACTTGCTTGCATTGATAGACATCTTTAAATAGAGCAGCTACACCTCCACCTCTCCTAACAGACCTGCAGACACTTATAAAACTAAAGTTAGGAGGGGCTGTTTCATTGAGGACTGTTGCACTGCCTTCTAGCCATGTTTCGTTTAGAAACATAAAAACCCGGTTGTTTGTGGTTATTAAGTCATTGATCAGAAATGATTTATTTTTTAGTGAGCGAATGTTTAAAAATGCTAACTTGATGGCACTACTTTGTGTCTCTACAGCAATCTTAGATTGATGCATAATAGGCTGCAGATTAGATGGGTCAGCCGTACGGCTTGAGAAGGCCTTAGACTTTCTATCACGTGATAAAACAGAAATAGAGAAAGCTACAGGCACACTGGGTTCCTGCTTGTTCTGTAAACATTTGTGAATGTTGCTGATATCATAGTGGGGACCCGACACATATCACTGAGAGCTGTTATCAGTTGCTTTTGGTTCACCTACAACAGATGGAGGAGGGTTTGGGCCCTGGCGTTGTGGCAGTGGCCGGAGAGCTCTCACAGGAGGAGGAGGACGAGCTGGGCACACAGGCGTCAGTGGTTGTGGGGCATGCCATTTTTTAGTTGATATCTGGGGGCTTGCAGCAAAAGAGTGGGAGAGTTTAGTCCCAGCATAAACCAGTTCCTCCATTTTCTGTGAGAAGCTTAGAAGTGGAGATGCTGGAGAGAGGGATAATGTGTCCGGTGAGATGGGCTGTGGCTCTGCTGTTTCTGGTGGCTGAAATATGTTGTCCTGGCTTCCCTGGCTGTTTTCCAGAAAGTCGTCCTTGGGTGCTGAGTATTGGAGCTGTTCTGATATGTCACAGTCTGTCTGTGATGAGCTCTGAGGGCAGGGCTCAGCCGGGATAGTTTCCATGAGCAGTGCTTGTTGTGGCTGTGTGGCGCTATCATTGTCCTTGTGGGATATGTCAACCACATGATGACTTGGAAGCTGATATGATGTCCTGTCGTCACTCATACTTTGTCGAGGTGTGTGTGTGCCATTCAGGTTGAGTGGATTGGCATACACTACTGAAGGATGACGGAGGGAGAAATATATATTGTCCTTTAGCACTCTTGCACCAAGTTTGTTTGGGTTGAGGCCATCCAGTTTAAAAAGTTGTCTATGGCCCCAGAAAAGACTGAAGTTGTCGATGAAGTTGACTCCTTTTATACTGCAGGTTCTTTGTAGCCATGTATTCAGCACAAGCAACTGTGAAAACATGTTAGTTCCCCTTGCTGGGAGTGGTCCACTGATGAACGGCTGAACTTCAAGCCTTTGAAGTGTTTCAAAGAGTTCACTGAAATCCTTCTTAAGGGCTGGCTGTTTTCCAGAAAGTCGTCCTTGGGTGCTGAGTCTTGGAGCTGTTGTCACAGTCTGTCTGTGATGAGCTCTGATATTAAAGACTGTGTTATTCAAGAACTCCTCATTTCCTCGTTCCTTGCTCCCCGAGTGAAGTGTGACACTGAGGAGGGTAGAGACGTTATGAGTGGGCTCTCCCAGCCTTCCATAAGACGATCTGTTGGATGTTATGGCCCATGCCATGGACAGAATATATCTTCCCTGTTGAGGCAGTGGTCGGGAGGCTCAAAGAAGCGAGGCCGCAGTCTGCAGAGATATTTACCGTGCCAATCCAAATCTTTGCTAAAAGCCTCTGGGGAACCTGGCTCATCATGGTGTGAGGACTGGAGACAGTGCCAAAAGTCGTGCATTGCATCTTGTGCCCCCCTCCTCCAAAGGGTAGGGTGCAGAAGAGGCGTGATGCAATATCTATGGGAAGTGATTAAGAGAAAGCAGTCTGAGTGATCTCAAATCATTGAGGAGAAATAATATCTCTCCTACTCCTGATGGGTCCATACTCTGTGAGTATACAATGCTTGAGTTCAAGAATCGCATCCTTCCTCATTTCTGTTACTACTCTAACAGGTGCCAGAAAACAAAATAGCACCAGTTATAGCAAACTAGATGAGTGCACATGGTTGATGTTGCCTCTCCCAGGAAACTGGGGTTCTCTAAACAGAATGGCTCCCTTATAGCTCTTTTATGAGGACAGCAGTATCGAGTGGTTGTAACTAGCACTTAGCTGGCTCCCCTTGGGAAGCAATCCCTATGGGTCGAGTATAGTCCTCCGCTCCCTGTGAGAGCTTTTGTCTGATATCTAAGAACCAGACAAGATGTGGCTTTGCCTCAAAAGATTGCATCTCTTGTTGTTGTTGTCACAGTTCGCAGGTCTGTGAGTTCATCCTGTCAGGTCTTGTGTGTGTGTGTTTGCTACCTGCGTTGCTGGGCAACTCCGTATCACTGATGAGCTAATCAGCTTCACCTGTGGCTCATCAGCTTCTCTATATATTGTCGCTGTGTTTTCTCTGTCTTTGTTGGATCATTGTGGTGCTCACAATTATGTTTTCTCGTCTTGTGTCTTCTGTCTCCAGTTTGCCTGTGTTCCTGTTGCTGTTTCTTTGTCTGTGGTGGATTATTCTCTGGACAGTTTTCTTGGACTCTAATTTTCATCTCACCAATTGTTTTCCCTGTGCTGCCAGGGATTTTACATCTGCACCCATTTGCAGTTATATGGCACATGTATTGTCTTAAGATCCAGGACATGTCCCTTTAGCATAAAGCAGAACCCTCCCCCATTGTTGAGGGTCTTAAAGTAGGGTCCTCCGCTTCCCAAGAACTTTACTCATCTCCTAGAACCCAACAAGTGAACTTTCACCTCAAAGTTTGCATCCATTCTCGTTGTCATGCACCTTTGGAAGCGCTGGTTTCTTGAGATACTGGATAGAGCCAGACAGGGTGTGAAAATGTTTCTATTGAGGTAGAAAGGCTGTAGCTCCCCTGGGGGTGTCCTAAGGTAGAATTTAGAAAATCTTGCTCCCCCTAGCGGTAGAGACCAGCTAAGGGAACTAAAATGTTTTTCCCTGTGCCAGTATTGCCTTAAAGGTGGTGTCTAGTGTAAAGGACTGACATAACCAGACCTTTGAGCTCTGCCCTCAGACTGGACACTGCTGCCTGGCCCACAAGGAAGGGAGGAAAGTTGGAAAAAGCCTGAACTTTCCTTGTATAGGGCTTGAGACTTGGGTAGTGGCCATAGGGAATGTTGTCACTCACAGTTCTCAGACTGAGGTGTGCCTAAGTAGGGGACTTTATTGACTTTGGCAGTTATGTTCTTTGAGTCTTATGTCGTGCCCATTGTGGCAGCGCTTAGCTGATGTGGCAGACATTCTGCCCAGCATGGCAGAGTAGGTATCTGCTCCCCAAAGCGTCAGCAGATGCACTGCAAGTTCCCATTTGAAAAGGAACATTTCGGGTTACGAGTGTAACCATGGTTCCCTGAGAAGAGGAACGATACACTGCATCTCATTGCCATGCTTTGGGCCCTCCTGCAAACATCTCCTTCAGACAAAAAAGTTGATGACGTGTACTACAGGTGCAATCAATGGTAATCATTATTCATGATTTATATTTCATTGTTTCTCCCACAGAACTATTGTTTTGCTTCAGAAGACCTATAATATAGCACTTGCGTCATAGGGACTACTCTGATTATGCTTTTATGATCCCTTTTTGTCCTGTTTTGCAGCTTGGCAGGCTCTAGCTACTTTCCACTTCAATTGTATATATTAAAAAAAAAACATTCTGCTAAACCTCTTCTTCAGTGTTCCATAAATGAAAGTCAGTCATACATGTTTGGAATGACATGAGGATGAGTAATGTTGACCATTTTCATTTTTAGATTAACTGTTCCTTTAAAGGAAGGAATTTTACATCAATTGGAAAAAGTAGTATGAATGTTGCCTAAATATACTGAGATGCATCTTTGAGCAACTGTGTTCCTAGACAGTATACATGTAAAGACAGCAGAACAAATTCCCCATATTTTCTTGTTTACCATAAATATTATCAGAAGAAAACAAGATAGAAAATTATTTAAAAACACAATAGGATTGGAAGTGACCAAGTGTACCTTTACTCCTGCAGTGTTTCCAGACTTGATGATGACAGCAGTCTGTGGTGCACGACTCAGCAGTGCAACAACAGACCGACGGATTTTGGCCACTTCATGAATGTAAAATGTTATTGGGTGAAAAACCAGATGGGCGAAGATAGTGAAGACAACAACTGCATGAGGACCACCAGCTATTTCATCAATTTCATTGGCAATATAATGCAGATCAGTAATGAGCATTTTAATAAATCGCAAAGGAACACCATGTGGCTTCCAGTGAACAATGATATTATTTTTCAACTCCACAGCCATCAGGGGTCCACCTGTACGAGGAGTGTGGAGATCCATTCTTTTTAAGCCTAATAAAGATAAGCAAAACTTACATTAGACTCATTTCTTTATTAATTTCTTAAACAACAGCCCCAAGAAGTACAGTGCCTATAGAAAATCATCATACCCCTTTGAAAGAGTCACTTTATTTGTCATACAGCCTGAAATGAAAACCCATTCCAAAAAAAAAAAACTTTTTTTAAAATTATTTTTCCAGCTTTATTTACAAAATGTGCCTTATAACATCAAAGTAATAAAAGAAAAAGCAACAGTTCTGAAAAATATTAATAAAAAAACAAACAAAACAAAACTGAAAAACAGGGTTGGAAAAGTCACAAGTCCCCTGATTTAATATTTCGTAGGGCCGCCTTTTTTAAATTACAGCCCTTAATCTTTCTGGATATGTCTGTACTAGTTTGCGCACCTAGATTGTAGAATATTTGCCCATTCTTCCTTGCAGAACTGCTAAAGTTTAGTCAAAATATGTGGTGAGCAGCTATGGACTGCTCTCTTCAAGTCCTTCCACAGACTTTCAATCAGATTTAAGGGCTCTGACTTGGCCACTCAAAGACATTCACCTTCCTATCCTTGAGCCATTGCATTGTTATTTTGGCGGTATGTTTAGGATCATTGCAATCTGTGGATGCACTTGAAGAGAGCAGTCCACTGCAGCTCACCACAGAATTTGACTGAACTTGAGCAATTCTGCAAGGAAGAATGGGCAAATATTCCCCAATCTAGGTGTGCAATGCTAGTACAAAAATAACCAAAACGATTAATGGCTGTAATGAAAGCAAAGGGTGGTTCTACGACGTAAAGTTTTTTTTAAAATTTTTTTATGAATTGTTGCTTTTTCTTTCTTTACTTTGATGTTGTAAGGCAACATTTGTAATATAAAGCTGGATGAAATATGTACATGTCTCAATTTCATTACATTAGATACAAAATATCAAACCAAGTAGCTTCTGAAAACAAATGCTGCATGAGCGTTTCTCAGAACTATCGTTTATAAGTCATTTTTGTAATAGCATTTTGCAAGTTTAAGACCTAAAGAATGTCTTTTTGATGTTTTGCTTGATAAGAGTGCCACATAGTTTGATATTTTCATCTAATACCAAGACATTCATATAGTTTGATTACGTGTCCACATACTTTGTGGGGCCTCTATATGTCAATACCTTATTAATTTTTTTTTTTATTATACATTAATGCAATGAAGACTAAAACAAAGTCATATCATTGAATAACTTGCCTGGCACATTTCTTTCTAAATACTCAAACCACTGCCTTGTGGTGGAGTCTCCCAGCAAGTAGACAATCTTATTTTTAAGACAATTTCCCATTTGTGAAGAATTGAATTTTTTTTTATGATTTGTTGCTTTTTCTTTCTTTACTTTGATGTTGTAAGGCAACATTTGTAATATAAAGCTGGAAAAGTTTTTTTTTTGTTTTTTTTGTGATGTGTTTTAATTTCAGGCTGTACGGAAAATAAAGTAGCTATTTCAAAGGGGTATGATGATTTTCTATAGGCACTGTATATGGGCAAATCAGGAGTCACCCAAAGTCGTAGGTCACCCAAAAATCAGCCATTTACTCATCTTCATGTAATTTCAAACCTTTATGACTGTCTGACTTTTGCGAAACACAAAAAAGATATTTTGACAAATGTATCAACGGTCTTTGTGCATATAAGTCTTTGGGGTCCAATGTTGTTTAGTTTTTATTTAAGTAAAAAATAATAATTTTTATATGTCTCTACACATTTCTTTCTAAATACTCAAACCACTGCCTTGTGGTGGAGTCTCCCAGCAAGTAGACAATCTTATTTTTAAGACAATTTCCCATTTGTGAAGAATTGAATTTTTGAGTGTTGCATACAAAAGACTTCCAAACATCTTTCAAATAGAACCCAGCAGGAACTGGTGTTGTCAAGCCAGATCTGCATCTCTCCATTGTGCCTAAAGCAAAGAAACATTTACCTGAAAAGACTGTGTCAATACAAATTCTTCATTCACTTGTAACATTACATTAGACTGACATTATACATGTCAGTCTTCTGATATGTGATCTGTGTATATTTTGTCCATTTCCTATTTGGAAAATAAATAATATAATAATAAAATAAAGAAAAAGAAGACAGTGTATTAAACATAAAAGGAGAATTTGGCTAGATTTTTGGTTTATGGTGTATAAATTGGTTTATGGCTTGAATATTTCATTTGCTGAAACACTGCCAATGTGTGCATGATAATATTTAACATTAACATGAATAAGAATAAGATGAGAGAGGCGTTTTAGTGTCACACACTTGAGCAAATAAAATATTCAAGCAGAGTTGTGTTTATTAAATAACAATAACAAAAAGAAAAATGCCACTATTTTCTTTCTCTTTATCCATTTTCCATACAGGGAAATAAATGGTCAAAATATATTAATACATTCTCCATATGTTAACATACCGTTGCCTGCAGTGTTTGGAAGGACATTTATGTTTATTTTGTCTCCAGGAATAGCAACATTTGTTAATTTCCTGTGAAGAAATAGTAAGAATACATTTTCTACAAATGTTTTTAGTTTTACAATTTTTGTGAAATTAAATTTGAATGCTTTCAAACTTACTTTGTAAAAAGTTGATTCTCAAAAGCTTTTAAAGGACTTTCCAAACCTCCCCTCGAGTGATGAACCAGTTTGTCACAGGAAAGTTTCTTCGGTCTCTCACACTGCCACACTGTCCCCGTTTTTAAATTCTTATACTCACAGCAGCAGTTGCCTTTCCTCCAACTTCCATCTCCACCCCACTTAAGATTACATTGTACGACTTCACTGATCCTGGTTTCATTGGGTCCTGGCCCTTCAAAGTGGCCATTATAGTGGCTGCGTGGGAATGAAGACTCCCTGTATTTTTTAAGAATCTTCACAACCTCACTGGAGTGCTCAAGACGTACAAATACTTGTGCCTGACCTTCCCAGGGCAGAACAAGAGCAACAGAGTAAGTTCCATTACGATGATCCACAACCTCCCCGTACACACTCGCCTTCAAGAAGAATGGAAAAGGTTAAGTGTACTGCAGAAAACTTATGTCTGTTGGTAAAGTAAGCTTATAAACATAGACATATGTAATATTCATAAAATAATATCATACAAAATAAACACACCTTTAGCTTTGAATTGAAAAGCTTTGCTTTGAAAAAATCTCCTCCGTATCTTTTCAGGTTTTTGTTGTGGTCTCTGGCTGTGATAATAACGGAGATGTCTTCTCCCACTTTGTAACTGTTTTTGAGTCCCACAATAGAGAATGTTGAGTGGACTGGACTTGTGCTCAGACTCAGCTGAGTGATTTCATCATCTGGACCAGGCCAGTCGAGAGCCTTCTGTAGTCTTTCCCACTCCTCATCACTGATTTCCATGTCAAGTGCGGATATTGCATAAGAATTATTGGTATTATTATTATGAGGAGCTGTTTTAGGTCTGGGGGGTGGAAATTGTGACATTTGGTTCCAAATATTCAATCTCCATAGAGCCTGAGAGAGGACCAGGATATCAATCACACCAAATTCCATTTTTTTTTCAGTATGTAAATGTTTAAAGTTCAGTGTACACTGTAACACAATTCCACATATTTTAGCTTAAAAACTTAAGTTCATTTGCTGCCTTAAATTTTTAATTATAATCAACCTGGTTGTATAAGTCATTTCAAATTAAATTACATTAAACCAGCTTTAAAAAATCAAGAGGAATTTCATATAACTTATAAAAAAAAGTTGAAATTGCTCAAATTGTTAATGTAACATAAAAACATAATTTGCCATGACTTACTGATCATATCATTTTTTACAGTGAAAAGATACTTTCTGGATAATACTAGAAAAGATATGCGGAGCTCTAGGCGGTTGGTGAAATCATGCAAAAAGTATGAATGAGTTAGGTCTTACTATGTAGCTCAAGCAGGAGAGCATGGTGCTAACAACGCCAAACTCATCCGTTCAAAAGCATCAAATAAAGAGTTGCCTTTACACAACAAGTCAAAAGGTTACAGCGAAGGGACCTGAGTTCTCATCCAGATAGCTGTATATATTTGGGTGTCATGCTATCTGCTTCCCCATTATTAAAATAATTAGGCTACAGATCTACTCAAAATTATTTTATAAGTGGTTGCTTAGTCAGGGGTTCAGACAGCAATGCTTGGTCAAAATAACTTGTATGAAGTTTGTGTCAGTCACCTGTGTGTATGTTTAAAAATATCAATCTGGTGCAGAGAGGAGGAGAGAAAGTAAGCAAGATAATGGAACGTGATGAATTATGAAAAGATATTGATGAAATGGCAGTTGCTGGATTGTGTCTTATTGGTTTATTTCTACATTTGGCGAGCTCTTTGAAGATGCTGTGCCAATAAAAACAGTGTCATCTATAGTACGGTAATGAACATGAAAGGCATTGTTTTTGCAGGCACTTTAAAATATGTAAACACATGAACTTCATCTTTAGAACTGCTCTGAGAGTCACTTCACCAGCAATTCACCATTTCATTTGAGAAAACTATCGTCATGTCATATACATGCACACATAGAAACTAAAAATAACAGTTCGGTTTAACCTGAATGCATTTTGACAGAAATATATTACTATTGTACAATAGAATGTACGTCTCAAAGTATTAATAATAATAATAACTTATTTTTATAGGAATAATAAAAATTTTTCTTCCATGTTTAAGTTTGAACAGTAAACATCTGTTGTGCAGCACTTTGTTCGCAAAAAAAAAAAAAGAAAGTAATAGTTACATTTTCATTTGATTTAGTGTTAATTTTGTCAGCCATTTTTTATTTAGTCTTAAGCCGTTTCTCAATATGCGTTCTTGTCTGTACTTGCGTTCTTGTGGACTTGTGAAACGTCATCAGTTGTTGCCCAAGTACTGTTCCAAGGCTGCGTTCCACTCCACTTTTAGACAAGCACTTGCAAATTTCCCTAAGAACTTCCCCTCGGGGGAATCGCCGCTGCCATTTTGAAGTGCGTTCCACTTTGTGAAGTGGACGAGGGAAGTTTAAATGGACAGACCCTCGACCCCTCGATTTTGATTTTGATCCAGGTGATCACTGGGCGCTCAGTGCTCATGTAAGCTGCCGAGAGCAGCCTTACCTCGGCTAGTCATTCTGACATTTGCCACTAGCTCTAGTGTTCATTTTGTCAGCTATTTTTAATTTAGTCTTAGGCTGTGTCCGAAACCACTCCCTATCCACTATATAGTGCACTATATTGGGTGTCAGTCATTTTGTAGTGCTGTCCGAATTCTGAGTGAACTACTTCATTCCCTACATTCATTCACTACTTTTTACCCACAATGCATTCTGATTTAGAGTGTTTAACCGATGTACACTCGCTGAAGCACTATTTCCCACAATCCATTGTGGAGTAACGACGAGCTGGAAGAGAGAGCGGGAGCGGGAGCAAGCGAGTTTGAATGAGAGATGGCGTTTACATCTTTCTTATTTCTGCTTTAACGTTTTATTTCATACATTATTTATATTAAAATATATTATGTAGGCAATAACTCAGTAATATTTTACTAATTTACTGAGGTGGCATCGTTGATAACTTACAAAAATTATGATAATTTGGTGGATAATTAAAAAAATGTTTGTTAATCACCTGTAGGTCTGATGTAAAATTAACGGTCGCCTGAGGGCCAGGCCCGGATTAAGAACACATAGGGCCCTAGGGCTATAGCTGTCACGAATCCGGTCTATGAACTTCCGTTCACTCACCACCAGAGGTCACCCGCTCACTACTTGGACTCTCACACTACACAGACTGTTACACTATACCCTGGACTACATTTCCCATCATCCATTGCACTGATTGCACACAGCTGTAACCAATCACACGCTCACCTGAAAGCTATTACACACACTATATAACATCCACCCAGATCCTGCTCAAGTCGCCGAGTATTGTCTGCGTTTATTACTCTCCTAGTGATAGCACTTTACGGAGCCAGTTCCAGTTTTCCTAGTTTAGTCATAGTCTCGCCTTGCCTGTTTTCCTGCGTTCAGATTCTTGCCTGTGTTTTCGGATTACCCTTTTTGTCTTGCTGTTTCGGACTCTGTTCGCCCCTGCCTGGATTATTGCTATGTACCTGGATTATCTCTCTTTGCCTTGCCCTGTTGGATATTGTTCACCTTCGATCGACCCACGCCTGTTTACTGGACTGCTCTTGTGATTTGCCCATACCATACTGTTTGCTGGTGTTTCGACCCCACGTCTTTTAATAAAAGCTTTGCACATGGATCCGCACGTCTCATGTTCTGGTTACTCCATAACAGAATACTCGGCCCTACAAGGATCCAGCAGCTTTTCACGCGGACAATGGCCAGGTATGGATATGGCAAGACTATTAGTAGCCCTTGAGCAGCTCAGCTGCTCAGACTCATTTTGTGATGCCTTTCAAGCTCTGAGCCGCAAGTTGCTCTCACTGTTTAAGGGAAACTGGACTTTTTGTCCAGCTCTTTTCTCCTTCTCTTTTAAGCTAACTCGTCAAAATTTGATACAGTATTACTGCCTCAGATCCTCTTTTTTAAAACATTAAATTTGCATTCATTAATTTAACAGATTCAGTTGCGTTACCAAGATTGTATGGCTCCCAGGGCAAAAATCAACCCAGTTTTATTGGAATAACATGCTTGTGGCGTCTGGAGATTTGCATTCATTAATTTAACAGATTCAGTTGCGTTACCAAGATTGTATGGCTCCCAGGGCAAAAATCAACCCAGTTTTATTGGAATAACATGCTTGTGGCGTCTTGTCACGTCTCAGCAGTTCGTCCAGAGTCACGTCACGTCACAGCTGATCTTCCAGAATCTCATCACATATCAGCTGATCTTCCAGAGTCACGTCACATCTCAGATGTTCGTCCAGAGCCATGTCACGTCTCAGCTATTCATCCATCGCTTTTTGGTGTGTTTGGGCTGCATACACTACCACAGAACTTCCAGAGATGGCAGTGCTCACTCCAGGTCCTCCAGAGGTGGCAGCTGAGGCTGCAGAACCCTCCGAGGCAGCGGCACTCGCTTTGGCTCCTGGTATTGTGGTGGCGCCCAGCAATACACTTTCAGTCTGTCCTGTCACGGTCAAAGGGACCCTTGCTGAACTCTGTACCTGTCCTGTTAAGGAGAATGTTAATGAACTTTCCCTGTTTCCTGCTCGTATTGCTGTAGAACCTCCAGAGGTGGTGGCATCCGCTGCAGAACCTCCAGAGGTGTCAGTAGTATCCACTTGTGAACTCTC